TGGGGCTCAATCAACGTCCGCAGTTTAAGAAAACATCTTTACCAGGATACGATTCTCACATTATACACAACAATAGCACACACCTATGGTATACAGTAAGGGACATTCTCGCAACCTCGGAAACAAGCTAAATATGACAAAAGGCGAGGATGCGAGCAGCGTTCGAAATTAACGTCGGTCCTTAGGTCCGAAGCTGGCTGAAAACCACTCGGACCCACAGCTTTTGTTTTCAGCAGGTCCTTATGACCGACAGTTTTTTCATGCCCAATAACTAAGAGTATTATTTCCATATTAAAATATAGGGCCTACACATTCTGATCAGGACCCACAACTTTTTATGGTTCTGGGTCTTTAGGGCCTGCAGCTTTTCAGAGTTAAGGGCAAACACAAGATGCAAGATGCAAGGTAGCGAGAACGCGAGGTTTGTCGATTGTAGTATTCGCTAGATTCCATAGATACAAACGCAAAACAGTGAAATAAATAGAAATTATTTACCGAATATATGACATTAATGATACGGAAGCACACGAGGTTAATCATCTCTTTATCATATAATGTCATTCTTAAAATTACTCTAAACAAGAAGCAATTGAAGTGAATTTATATGAAGAGAATCGAGCATTGCCGTAGGAATACTTAGCGGTATACCAAGGTGAAGGTCGTTCATGACGGCGGCATATGGTTGTGACCAGTTGCTAATACAGCGCAAACATAACTCATGCTTAAAATAAGATCTTTCTGTCTAAAAAGAACAACACAATCGGGCAGGGTTTTCTTGGCAGTGTTTCTGTTTTCATTGCGGGTAATCACCTCATCAATATCAGTTTCTGATACCTGACGGAATCGATTCGTAGTCTGTATTGTGATCGATAGATAGAAATCCTTAATTGGTACCTTTCTTAGACGATCGCCTTTCTCTCGTGCCTCATAATCCGTACCTTCAAATTGAACGAAGTACTCTGTTTCATGTTTTCCAAAGTCAATTACTGCTTTAACGACTCCAGAACCTCTGTCATCAATTCTTACAGAATCACCAATTTTGAGAATGGGGGCAGCCATGTTTGTTTACAAACTCGTCCACGCAATATTAACACGCGACTACGTCACCAATGGAATGTTAAAACATTTTAGGATTCGCATGTCGTGTATGGAGTTTTGTGAAAGTAGTTCGTGGATTGACGTAATTTGCATAGTTACCAGATAGGATACCAAGTTTATCAGATTGCTTTATTGCACCGATAACATGATCCATTAGATGATAAGAAGCAATGAAGCAGTTTCATTTGTGAGTCGATAAAAGATGTACTTTTAAACGAACAGTTGACCTTTGCTGCTATTTCACTGTATTTCCTAAGGGATTTGGCGTTTTTCAAGTATAAACGTTTCAAAAAAAAATCTGGAAAACATTCATTAATTTCTTTGAGTGGCATTTTCAGAAGTTGGAGAGTCAGATAAGGACAAACGTTATGGATGAACAACTTCTTTATTCAAGTCATGTGACGTTTCCGTACAGATTCTTGTTTTGTTGCCATGTGTGACAACGAATCACCCGCACACAGAAGAGGTTCATCCATAAAGTGGGTCTTTATGTAACGTTCGTTAAAATGATGCTCGTCATCTCTAATGTCAAGACTTAGTCCTTAGTCCTTATATACTACCCATCAAAAGTTTAGACTCACTAGTGTTAATGTAACCACTTACTTCAGTCAACTGTTCTAAACTAGATTTTGCAAAATATTCCATAATGAACTGATGTATTGTAAAACTTCGGAAGCGTCCTAGTGCCACAGTCTGAATTTTTTTATCACCTAATTAGGACTTTGTATCTCCTAATTAGGACTTACTATCTCCTAATTAGGACTTACCTATCTCCTAATTAGGTGATACTATCTCCTAATTAGGACTTAGCTATCTCCTAATTAGGACTTAGCTATCTCCTAATTAGGAGATACTATCTCCTAATTAGGAGTTACTATCTCCTAATTAGGTGATACTATCTCCTAATTAGGAGTTACTATCTCCTAATTAGGAGTTACTATCTCCTAATTAGGACTTAGCTATCTCCTAATTAGGACTTAGCTATCTCCTAATTAGGAGATACTATCTCCTAATTAGGAGTTACTATCTCCTAATTAGGTGATACTATCTCCTAATTAGGAGTTACTATCTCCTAATTAGGAGTTACTATCTCCTAATTAGGACTTAGCTATCTCCTAATTAGGACTTAGCTATCTCCTAATGAGGACTAAGGTATCTCCTAATTAGGAGATACTATCTCCTAATTAGGAGTTACTATCTCCTAATTAGGTGATACTATCTCCTAATTAGGAGTTACTATCTCCTAATTAGGAGTTACTATCTCCTAATTAGGTGATACTATCTCCTAATTAGGAGTTACTATATCCTAATTAGGACTTAGCTATCTCCTAATTAGGACTTAGCTATCTCCTAATGAGGACTAAGGTATCTCCTAATTAGGAGATACTATCTCCTAATTAGGAGTTACTATCTCCTAATTGGGTGATACTATCTCCTAATTAGGAGTTACTATCTCTAATTAGGAGTTACTATCTCCTAATTAGGTGATACTATCTCCTAATTAGGAGTTACTATATCTAGTGGGACTTAGCTATCTCCTAGTGGGACTTAGCTATCTCTGGTGGGAGATACTATCTCCTAATTAGGAGTTACTATCTCTAATTGGGACTAGCTATCTCTAGTGGGACTTAGCTATCTCCTAATTGGGACTTAGCTATCTCCTAATTGGGAGATACTATCTCCTAATTAGGAGTTACTATCTCCTAATTAGGACTTAGCTATCTCCTAATTAGGAGATAGTATCTCCTAATTAGGAGATAGTATCTCCTAATTAGGAGATAGTAAGTCCTAATTAGGAGATAAAAAAATTCAGACTGTGGCACTAGGACGCTTCCGTATAAAACAAATTCTTAACTTTGAAAAGATTATTGTCATGAGTTCAATAAATGATGGAGCTCAGTGAAAATTGGGAAATTCTTAACAAAACTTTACACCAAAACGCAAGTGTTCAAATACACGATATTTGCTCATGCTCTTCAACAATTTGATGCATGATCCTCGTGCAATTCATCTGCTGCCCCCTAGTGAGTGTAGAAAATCATCTTCGGTATATCAACACACACAAACACACATAACATTTAGTAAGTGCTTTAAGTGAGTCTAAACTTTTGATGGGTAGTATGTAAATGGTTGTACGAGCGGTATAAAGTGACCGGTGAGACACACCATTTGGGTAGGTCGCTACACTGAATCTACCAGCTCTGAACAGTACTGGAACAATCTAGAAAGGACAACTGGCACGTCACGGAAACAGTGTTTGACAGTGTTTAATTTTCAGTTGTACATTATTTATATTTTCATCGCTATATTCCCTTTCGTTCTCAGTGGAGGAGCACACATGACCCAGTCATGACGAGTTGTGTCCCTTGCGAATACCAGGATCCAATAATTGTGGGTTCGAATCCCGGTTTTAACCAAAGAGATTTCGGGATTTTCTCCCACATCACATATATGACATTTGTTTGTTTTTTCTGTTTGGATTTTATGGTCTCTTGTAGAAGGACAAGGGTGACTTCTCGTTGTTTGGTTAAACAAATAAAACCACGAGCAGTTGATGTTTCCACTAACAACTCGATTTGTTACTGCAGTTCACCTGATTAATTGTGTATAAGTTGGGTGGCTGGTTTGTTGTTTAACCCTGCACTCAACAATAAGCAAGCTATATGGCGGCGGTCTGACCAGACAATCCAGTGATGAACTGCATGAGCCCCAATCTACGCAATTGGGAACCGATAACATGTGTCAACCAAGTCAGCGAACCTGACCACCCGATCCCGTTAGTCGCCTCTTACGACAGGCATGGGTTACTGAAGATCAAGTCTATCCCGTATCTTCACGGATAAATTGTGAATAAGACCAATGTTGACGCATCTGCTTTCACCATAGATGTTCACGTGCATTGTTGAGCCATAGTCTACACTCACTCGCTGTGTCAGCCATTCCATACTGGGGTGAGCGAACACATTCGAACACATGTCTATGCCTTTAGTTTTAGTTTGTATTCTTGAACGAATGATCATGTCAGTCATCTGAGAATTTAACATACGTGCATATTGACAACAAATACTTTGTATTAATTAATTTTTGTTTATTATAAAATATATCTGTTTTCTACATCAATTCTTATACAAAATATATCTTTGACAATAGGAACCACTTTACAAATTATGAAACAATCCCTATGGTTGATGATTTAACATTCTGAATGCGCTGTATCTGAGGGACCCTTAAATCGATCCTGGTCTGCTAAAAAACAACAACGTTTCCGGTAACTGAGACTTGGAAAAAGTTAATAATTGAATGACAGCCCCGGGTTGGCGGAAGGTGGAAACACAGAATATCAGCTTTTTTATGGATTGTGCCGTTTATATTAACAAGTTCCTTTTTCCTTTTCAGTCTTAAATATTGGTAAAACTGTTTGATGAAGTTCGTAGTCTACGAAGACAGTTTTAATTCTGGTGGGACTAACCCAAACCAACATCACTTGCAGCATGTCCGTGAATTCATGTTTATGAAAGACACAATTGTAAATGTCACTGGTTAAATCTGTTGTGAAAGGTGACAGAAAGTGTTTTTTGGGAAATCTCAGAGTTCGATTTTATATGAAAACCGTTCCGTTGATGGAAAGTGATAAAATTCATGTCAAAATGGATACTATAAATAGAAAATCTCAAACTTACAGATAATTTTGATAAAAATCGCACAGCAGAACAAAGTGATACAATTCAGGTTAAAAAGCAATATAAATTTGTGACACTGCCATTTACTGCTTACAAAGTTATAGGTATCAGTTAAAGTTAAAAGTTAAAATTATTGTTGTTCTCCCTCGCCTCATTTTTATCGTGGTCGTCATATGAGCGAAATATTCTCAAGAACGACGTTAAACCCAATTTCACCTCACCTCACCTCATTTTTATCGTGATATATATATCGCTTTGTAAACTTAAACTTTATCCTTACACTGGAACTAGAAAGTCATGACCGTCTTTCCATGTACCTAGAATCCATCAGGTACGTTACATGGGGATGTAAATCTTTCACCATGTTCCTATAGAAATATTTTTTGGTATTTGCCGCACTCGGTAGAATGTCAAACATATGATCTATCATCAATGGGATGCAAAGTTAAACATTAACCAAGTCAGCGACCCTGACCACGATAGTTATTCCAACATGAAAGCAGCGTTGAAAAGGGTAATTGTTAAAAGAACGGAACACCTAGTTCAAGGGCGAAATAATTAAACCTCACATTTAATGTAACCTCGCTTATTGTCTGATGTTTTCCCCGTAATGGCCAAGGAAGTGTGAGTCTATGACAGTACTGTTTATTGTTTGTCGTTGAACGCCGCACTCTGCAATGTTCCAGCTATATGGAAGCTGTCTATGACAATACTGTCTCTACACTTTCAAAGCCGCTGTCATCACTGAGGGGTATTTTATAACGGACTATCATTGTCGTTCCCTGTGATGTCCTGGTCTTCTTCACATAGCACATACTGGCCATGGCCCGTCTGAAACCCTTACTCAGGAAACAGTAACACAAAGGGTTGAGAGTCGAGTTGGAAATACCAAGTAATTGCACCACTGGATAAACGTAATTGAGCACGGAGGTAGCATGTTTAGATTCCACATTGAAGTCCAACCAAATGTTGACAATATAGTATGGAAGCCACGAGAGGCCAAAAAGCGTCACAAGAAACATCAGGTTCCTGACTGTCCGCCTCCTCTGACGTAATATCCGGTCAGCTTGAGCCTTACCGGAAGATGCGCTGTCGAAGAGCGTCACATCCTCCTTCCAAAGGGTCAATGATATTTTGATATATGTTCCGCACATGACAGCCAGGGGAAGCAAGAATTGTATGATAAACATGAATAGATTGTAAAACTGTTTGTCTTCGATCTCATTCCACTTTTCTTCACAGACCCTGGATTCAAATAATCCCGGTATTCCCCAAGTCGTTATCACATTGACGAACAGCAAAGGCGACACCGCGCCAAAGGACAAAATCCACACCGACACAAGCATTAGGATGACTTTTCCTTTAGTGAATAACATTTTAGCTCGCAGAGGTATATGGATGGCAAAGTATCTGTTGATGCTGATGAACAGCATACTTAGAACACTGACTCCCACGGCAGTCCCCTGCAGGAAGGTGGTTACCTTGCAGAACACCTCGCCGTACACCCAGTCCCTGTAGACGTAGTTGCCGAGGGTGATGGGGATGCAGATGCACACGACAAGAAGGTCACCGATGGTCAGGTTGAGGAAGAATACGTTGGTGAGTGTGCGCATGCTCCGGTGCTTGGCAACGACAAGGATGACGAACATATTTCCCAAAATGCCAAGCAGGAAGGTGATGCTGAAGAATATTATGAGTACAATGGTGAACGGTTCGTTGTGGCGGTATAGGTCTTTCTCCAAATCAGTGAGAAAGTTAGAGTAATCCTTCATCTGGTCATAGTTACCCAACAGATCTGTTTCGGAGTAATTGTCGGTTAGGTTCAAGAGGTCCCAAAATATGTTTCCACTCTTAGGAGGGCGTTCACAGTCTTGTCCTCATCCGTCATGCTTGACCTTGATCGTGTAAAGAAACTGTCCAAGGTTAGAGGTTCAACGGTGTTTGGTCGCATCTATAGGACATCTTCATCTACGAATACTTCCGATGGTCAGCGGGACAGGCGTATCTGAAACATAGGTAGAATATATTATGCTTAATATTTTAAAGGTCTGCTCAACCTGCTGTGTTTTCGAGGATTCGAACGTATGTTCGAAATCTGTACATTTATATTAGCAAACGTGGTTAATGGATTACCCTTTCTTACTAAAGTAAAGTTTCCCGTACATTTTGGAGTTGAGTCCAAGGGTTCGAACCCACAATTTCAGAGTCAAGGGATCTAATCATTAGCACACAAAGTCAGCAATCTAATCGTCCAACCCAAATCTCTTTCTAAACCAAAGGCCATAGCTTGGTTTACTCACTGAATAAGATGCAGCTATCAAATCAGAATTTGTGCTTTACTAAGAAAGTAGACCGCCTCCGTGGTGTAGTGGTTAGAGCGTACGCCCGGAGAGCGGAAGGTCGCGGGTTCGATCCCCACCGCGTCATACCAAAAGACGTTAAAATGTGGTACTTGTTGGTCACTGCCTGGCGCTCGGCATTAATGGGTACAACAAGGACTGGTCGGCTCGGGAGTCACTATAATGTGTCTGAGTTGGGTATTCATGTTTAACTGCGGCATGGTATATAAAACCAGCTTCAGTCTGGGCTAGTACAAGCAGCCGCACATACACATACACACGCATGCACGTCGTCATATCAGCGAAATATTCTCAAGTACGACATTAAACCCCATGTCACCTCACCTCACCTATGAAAGTAAGCCAAACTAAATGACATGCCGCATTTTAACATGAGAACCCCACTTAGCCACAGCATGCTGATTTTGAGTGAGTGAGTGAGTGAGTGAGTAAATATTCCAGCAATATCAGGGCGGGAGACACCAGAAATGGGTTCCACATAATCTAGCCACGTGGGGAAATCGAACCCATGACGAGCGAACGCTTTAAACACTTGGCTACCCCACCACCCCTACTGATTTTGAGCTCACCAGTGCTTCTTTGTTCCCCTACATTCCGAGCGCCAGCCAGGGTAACAACAAGTTCCATCTTTTATAGCATTTTGGTATGAGGGAATCGAACCACCAACCATCCGCTCTCCCAAGAGACCGCTAGACCACGAATGTAACCAAGTTCGATCACTCACGGTTGGGGTTGAAGCGAATGGAGTGAGTGAGTGCGTTTAGTTTTGCGCCGCACTCAGCGATATTCAAGCTCTATTGCGGCGGTCTGTAAATAATCGAGTTTGGACCAGACAATCCAGGGGCCAATAGCATGAGCGTCGATCTGCGCAATTGGGAACCGATGACATGTGTCAACCAAGTCAGCGAGCCTGACCACCCGATCCCGTTAGTCGCCTCTTACGACAAGCATGGGTTACTGAAGATCAATATTCTAACCCGGATCTTCACGGGTGGAAGCGAATGGAGAGAGTATGTTTAACCTCACCATATTCCATTGTAACTGGTGCAAATGACCACTCATGCTAATTCTGTTTTGCCTTATTGAGACACAGTATCCTTTTCAACCGGAAAAAAATAGGTCATTTTGAACTGCAGGTAAAGTTTGATCTTTGTCATTTGAGAGGTACATTTTTATTTGAGTCGGGTCTGAATCTGATCACGTTTTCCGTTCGAAATGTCAGACGCAAAACTTGTACCTGGAAGCTCTTAGAACCCAATACCTTTGTCATGAGACCGAGCCACTTTATATGAGCTCTGTGTTTGTATGTTTGTTGTTTTACGCCGCACTCAGCAATATTCAAGCTACAAGACGACAGTCGGTAAATAATCTGGACCAGACAATCCGGTGACTGGCATCATTAGAACCAATCTAAGGATTTGGGATATGATGACATGTGTCAACTAGGTCTGCGAGTCTGACCACCCGATCCCGTTAGTCTCCTCTTACGACAAGCATGAGTTGCAGAAGACCAATTCTAACCCGGATCTTCACGGGTGTCATAAGAAGATCAATCCCCATGAACACACATCTCTACATAAATACCAAGTTTAGTGAAATATGGTTAAAATGAGGTCAAGATGAATGTTCACGTGCATGTACACGTGTGTGCATCCGAACTTAAAATATTCACAGTTTAGGAAAAGTGACACTATGACGTAATGTTCAAATAGTACCAGACTGTTGTAATTTAGTTTGAAAAAATACGAAAGCCCATATGTTGGGAGACAATCAATGGATATTAATTTCTTTATTATGAGGCTCCTTCATCAGTTGAGCGAAAGCTAGGAATGAATGAGTGAGTGAGTTTAGTTTTACGCCGCACTCAGCAATATTCCAGCTCTATGGCGGCGATCTATAAATAATCGATTCTGGACCAGGCAATCCAGTGATCAACAGCATGAGCATCGATCTGCACAATTGGGAACCGATGACATGTGTCAACCAAGCCAGGGAGCCTGACCACCCGATCCCGTTAGTCGCCTCTTACGACAAGCATGGGTTACTGAAGGTTCATTCTAACCTGGACCTTCACGGGTAAGCTAGGAATGAATGCAGTGAGGTTTTACAAATACATGAGAGACCATAAGGTGGAAACGTATTTACAGACCGCCGCCATAAAGCTGGAATAATGCTGAATGCGGCGTAAAACTAAACTCACTCACTATTGTAGTATATAGTATTATAGTAGTAGTATAATTGTTGTAACATATCTAGAATTATATAGTATTATAAAATAATACTGTATATAAATGCGATGTGATTCCGTTAAGCCTTGACTCTTTGTAACTCGTTATATGTATCCGTCATATTTAATCCATGGCGTTCCAAATCACGGAAGTGAAATTCCGATTGTGTTTTCTGATCACACTGGTAGCATTCGGAAACCATCGGATTCCTCTCTCGGTTAAGCCTGATAAACGATTGAAACAGAGGTGACCTTTCATATCCTTGTCTGGAATTGAAATCGCCCAAATTTTGGAAACTAGTGCCGTAAGGCCCGTGAGAGCTAATCTGACAGATCAATGCCGTCTTCCTTTCAGTAATTTCATAGCCAGGTGGAAGGTCGCGATCTGTCGATCAGTCGAGACCTGTAATGGGATGTCCTCAGATCTCTGTGTAGCGGTAGGAGAACTGATTTTAACGAGATCGTAGTCAATACATCATATATACCATTATGACTAAAGTTCATACCATCACTCAATACGTCATGATCGATATATGGAGAATTCCCGTATTTTTCGAGCAAGATGTAGGGTGACACATGAATTGCCTCACGATTTTCGAACAATCACTATGATTGTGTAATATGTGTTTTTGTTTCAGTTATTCCATCATCCCTGTGAGCTCTACTTTAGAGTGAGTGAGTTTAGTTTTACGCCGCAGTCGGCAATATTACAGCTATATGGCGGCGGTCTGTAAATTATCGACCAGACAATCCGGTGATCAACATCATGAGCATCGATCCACGCTATTGGGATACGATGTGTCAAGCAAGTCAGCGAGCGTGACCACTCGATCCCGTTAGTCGCCTCTTACGACAAGCATGGGTTACTGGAGACCAATTCTAACCCGGATCTTCACGGGCTGCTCCTCTTTAGAAGGATGCACTTACCGTTTCCCTAAATTCACCAAACCATAGACACTAAAGGCTGGGGGTGGCATCTAGAGAATACGATATAATAGCTTTCTGTGAGATATCCATGTAAAACGGCGGTATGAGATCTCAGAGGGTGTTGGATATTTGGGTCTGTACGTAAAACGCATTTTACCAATCTACGCAAGTAATAACATCTTCTGGGCATGCACATCGTTCAAAATGTATTGTTAACTAAAAAGATAAGAAAACCCTTCCTTAATTTTGTAGCTAGATCATCTGCAAATAACTCTTAAGCAGAATGTATAAGTGAGTGTTGCGTTACCCCGCTTTTAGGACTATTCCAGCAATATCACGGCGGGGGACACCAGAAACGGGCTTCACACATTGTACCCGTGTCGGGAATCGAACCCGGGTCTGCTGCGTGAAGAGCGAACGCTTTAACCACTAGGCTACTCCGCCAGCCCTGGCCGTTTGTGAATAGAAGTGAACTCGGTTAATGGTAATTCAGATATACTGCTTTGTGTCATCTTGATGCAGGAGGAAAACTATCACCATTATTGCATATACTCTCAAATCCTCCGGGGCGGTGGGGTAGCCTAGTGGTTAAGGCGTTCGCGCGTCACGCCGAAGACCCTGGTTCGATTCCCCACATGGGTACAATATGTGAAGCCCATTTCTGGTGTCCCCCGCCGTGTGCTGGAATATTGCTAAAAGAGGCGTAAAACTAAACTCACTCACTCACTCAATCAAATCCTCCAATTCCTAATTTCATCCCAGGAGTCTATATCAGCAAATGGTCGATAGTTTTTCGTTTATCAATTTGATTTACTTAAATTGTACAGTTTTGTTGACAAGAACAAACGGAGATGTAACTATAAAAGAGCTGTATAGAGGAAATCTAATTCCGTAAATTCTCAAGTGACACTATTACAGATTAACAGCCTCGTAATTAAATTGTGGCACTGAAGATGGAACGCTCGTCCTCTCTCAGAAGAATGCCTGTCGCCGTATTTGCTCTAGTTGTTCAAATAGTGGCTTGCCAATTGTTTAAATTAATAAGTGTGAGTAATTGAGTGAGTGTGGTTTTAAGACGCTTTTAGCAATATTCCATCAATATCTCCAGAAATTGACTTAACATATTGTACCCATGTTTGGAATCGAACCCGGTCCTCGGCGTGACGAACGAAAGCATTAACCACTAGGCTAACCGTGATATTGCTGGAATATTGCTATAAGCGGCGTTAAACCAAAGTCACTCACTCATTCCTAACGT